TCTCTCTCTCTCCCTCTCTCAGTAAATTAATAATACTCGCACAAAAAAGTCAAGGAACAAAAATTCAAAAAAAGATAACTGAAGAACAATTTAACCGAATTTATTCATTTCTTTCAAAAAAAGATGCGTTCGACTGTATAGATTAAGTGTATACAATTTCAGATTTCAGCAACAACGAGAAGTTCATGTAAAATGAGTTTAAGTCACACTGGTGGGATTTCAAAAGTCGGAACAGCCATAGTTCTTCATGAACATTGTCAATCGTGGGTGTAGCCACTCAGTTTGACCAAACACTCGGCACAGCGTCGATGCATGGGCAGGACATGCCTTCGGAGACCTTGTTGCGGTAGGTTCTGCCACTCCTGGACGAGGCAGCCCAAGAGTTGTTGAAGGCTTTTATGCAGGAGGGTGGTTGTCCCTTATCCACCTATCAATGTGATCCCAAATGTTCTCTATTGGGTTCTAAACCGGGCTACAAGCAGATCAGTCCATGTGGGTGACAGCTCGCTGCTGCAGGAAGTCTCCCACGATGTGTGGGCGCTGTGGCGTGGCGTTGTCGTCCTGCAGTACAGCCTGGGGTCCAATCTGCCACAGGAGAAGAACATCAAGGGGACGCAGGATTTCCTCCCTGTGCCTTGCCGCAGTCAAATTGTCCTGTATATGGTACAGTGGGTTTTGTGGTGAGCTGAGGAGCCTCCCCCACTCCAGAACGGACCCTCCACCATAGGGCGCCACCTGCTGGATGCACTCAGGGTGGAACAGCTCTCCTCGGCATCTTCAGACGTGGGCTCGCCTGTCTGGATGCAGCAGGTTGAATCTAGATTCGTCCAAGAAGACTACCTGGTCCCACTGACAATGTGTCCACTGTAAATGGCGAGAAGACCACGCCCGGCGAGCTGCTTTGCTGGGCGGCGTGTGCCTTGGGCGCCTGGTAGGGACACGAGAAGCGCACCTGGCCCTACGGATACAGTCATTATCGTCTCATCACACTCGTGGACATTGGCTGTCATCCGTAGTTGGTCCCTGATGCCGTTTGCAGCGGTGGTTCGTAACGTCACGGCCTGTCTGACGATGAACTGGTCGATGCTGTCGTTGGTCAACGGGGCGGCTCTGGTCGATGCCTGTCCTGGACCCTTCCGGTCACTTGCCATCGTTCTTGCAGCCTCTATATGACTGATGGGGACACCCCATGTCGATGTGCAACAACTGAGCATGTGGAGCCTTTTTGAAGCCAGGTAAGGGCTCGTCCTCTGTCGACGTCAGGCAGCAAGCGTCGTTGGACCATCGTGTTGTAATGAAGAATTGCTGAAAAAACGCTGGCTTATAAAGGGTTGTAAGTCAGCAATATTCACAGCTAAGACATCTGTTTAGCACGAGCCAAGCTTAGTTTTAGCTAACAGCCCCTATGCCAATGTTCCTGAAGTAGAGAAATCTAGCCAATTTTTCATGCTTTTTGGCTGTGTTTCAGAATGCCCTGCACCGTCGCTGCGAAGCTGGTGCGGGCAAATTTGCTGTACAGGCAAACTGTGTCTCTAGTCGTCAGTGTGTGTGCCTAGTTTGGTTGACTTAACGGGTTTGTGAGATATTGAAGTTTAAATTTGACTGGTAAAAACAAAAGTTGTTCTTTGACTTTTTTGGGCGAGTTTACTCAATTACACAGTGGATGTGCTGAAACTGTTGTTGTTTCTTTTATTGCGTTTTTTTTGTTTTGTTCTTAGCTTTTTTTGTTTTGGGGATTATTTTTGTTTTCAAATCGTTTGTTGGTTTGTTTATCAATTTTTTATATTTAAAAAAATATTTTTTGTGTGCTTAAAGTGAAGAGGAACAGTTAAACAGCAAGCGGTTAGGTGACGTTAGGGTTTGTCTTCTCCGATGCCTTTCAGAACCGTTTGATCTTCTTTCTTGGTAAGTGTTTTACGGCGCTCGCAACTGCATAAGGTCAGATGAGGGTGCAGGACACATTATTAAGCATTTTCGATTTCGTAGGAGGTGTTAGATCTTACCTAATCTAAAATCAGGCGTGTGGCTGAAAAACAGCAATACGAGGGAGCCAATGAGTAGCAGTAGAAAGACAGCAGAAAAAGCAAAACTTTTTAAGAGAAAAAAATGTTCCGTCGTTGTCAAGTTTCGAACCCTGGACCTATTGGATGAGAGACGAACATCGAACCTCTAAGCCACGCGAGCCCCAGCCGTTTGACATTTGAGTTTGTCATTTGACCTTTCCCGAAGCTGAAAAGAAAAGAAATACAGTTCCAAGCTTCTCTTACAATTTAAATCAAGCAACTTTTAAGACAGCAATAAGGCTGCAGTGAAAGATGCCGTTATAATTTGCAACAAAGCAAAAATTACTTTCCAAAACTGGTGTCAAAGGAACAATGGTTAGGCACTTTGTCTTGCACACGAAAAATATGAGTTCGATTTCAGCACGAAGAAGTTTGCTTTATCTAGTCGCTACCTCAGAATTACAAAGTTCTGTCCGACACTTTTGGCCGTTTTGAGTTACTAAGACGTCAGAAAGCAAATTATGCTGACTGCTCTATCAAAATCGTAATAATAATCATTCGGAGTCATTTTCAAGGTATTCAAAGCATTGCATTCGAAAGAGCTTGACATATTATAAAACTCAAAAATTTTACGTTAAATTTCTCAAAACTGGGTACTGTGCAGATAGAACTTTGTAATTTTGAGGTAACGTAGTGTCTTAGTTCTGCCTGCTGATATGCTGTATCCTATGCACAGCCCCTGTTGTTATGACAGGCAAGGCCGAGGCAACCCACGACTTACACCATCAAATTTGTCTCGAAAAGGGTGTAAAACATTAATTGCAATATTTCAATACTGCAGCCAGAAACGAATACTAAGTCTCACAGTTTAGCTTTCCTCAGAATCCAGTTCTAATCCCTCCTCCCTTATTTAAAATAACCGAGCCTATTCCGTATTTCTTGCATCGAGCACACTTCTGTTCAGGTATATGTTTGCAAAACTTTAACAAATTATAATAAAATTTAAAACAAAAATGTACAAGATCACCTAATTTCGGTTTATTTGTATCATAAACTGTGCGTTCAATTTTCACGCGTAAAAAGTTGTCAATGCTTTGAGTTTTTTAAACTACTTTGGACTCCAGACTAAAATTTCTCCCGTCACGGAGCAAGAACTGAAGAGTTTCAAGGTTCAAGCTCTCAACGTGTGTGCATCCATCAACATATTATTATTGTTACAGTTCTTTCTTAAATGTATAAACACTTTGAATTTACAATAGCGGGAGGTTGGCCGGTTCTCTTGT